GCAGGTGGAGGTGGAGTTACGAGGGTCCCGGGCCTCCAGCTTCATTCCCACCTTGAAGTCGTTGGAGGGAGGAATCCGAGACTGCAGAACAAACACTCCGTATTAACATACTATGAATTATTTTGATAGGTTTGCATTTGAATTATTATTTATTATAAAATAATAATCTGAAAAATATACACTACAAGTCAAAAGTTTTTGAACAGTAAGATCTTTAATGTTCTTCTGCTCACCAAGCCTGCATTTATTTGATCCAAAATACAGCAGAAATCATTATAATATGCTGATTTGCTGCTCAAGAAACATTTATTGATATTATTGTTGAAAACAGCTGAGTAGAATTTTTTCTTTGATGAATATAAAGTTCAGAAGAACAGCATTTATCTGAAATAGAAATCTTTTGTAACATTATAAACGTCTTTATCATCACTTTTGATCAATTTAAAGCATCCTTGCTAAATAAAAGTATTAATTAAAAAATATATAAATAAATAAAATATTAATATATATATACTGACTCCAAGCTTTTGAATGGAATAGTGTATAATGTTACAAAAGATTTTTATTTCAGATAAATGCTGATCTTTGGATCTTTCTATTCATCAAAGAATCCTGAAAAAAATGCACTCAACTATTTTAATATAATGATAATAATGATAATAATAATAAAAAAATGTTTCTCGAGCAGCAAATCAGCATATTAGAATGATTTCTGAAGATCATGTGACACTGAAGACTGGAGTAATGATGCTGAAAATACAGCTTTGATCACAAGAATAAATTATATTTTAAAATATATTCAAATAGAAAACAGTTATTTAAAATAGTAAAAATATTTCACAATATTACTCTGTTTGCTGTATTTTGGATCAAATAAATGCAGGCTCAGCGAGCAGAAAAAAATGTAAAATCTTACTGTTCAAAAACTTTTGAATGGTAGTGTAAAAAAGCTAAAGTTTGCATATGTGGGTTTTTTTGAGTGTCATATTTGATCCATCAGGCTTTTATGGCTCATATAGTCTGATATAGTGAGAATATGGAGGAAAGGGTTCATGTGATTCTTATTCACAGAACAAACTCAAATTTAAAACTGTTCAAAATCAAAAAAAAAAAAGTAAAATGTTCTTTAAACATGGCCAAACCCTCATTCCTCACCGAGACGACTCACCTGTCTGAAGCAGCTGGGAGGAGCGGGATCAGACGACGTCTCTTTCAAATACTCCTCCCATGAGAACGACTCCATCACTGCGGCGGAGAAACACACCGATGCTTCACAAACTCAAGACGATCGCATGCAGCACTTAAAGTTCAGAGTCTTTACCTTTGACTGGTCCAGGACCTGTGAGAGACATGCTCCGGCCCGCTTTATCCTTCTTACCGTCTTTGTGATCTGCAAAAGAGAAATGAATTATGAAGTACGTCAAATTCAAGGCTTGAATCTCATGTACAGCATTTCTGATCACAATGTTCAGCTGAAGAAAGAAAGTCATAGAGGTTTGTAAATGAGGAATGCATTGTTATTTCTGGGTGAAGTTAACAGTGTTACAAGTTACAAGTAACGCAAGTTATGTAATCAGATTACTTTTTAAAAGTAACTAGTACAGTAACGCATTGTAAAATCTTACTGTTCAAAAACTTTTGAATGGTAGTGTAAAAAAGCTAAAGTTTGCATATGTGGGTTTTTTTGAGTGTCATATTTGATCCATCAGGCTTTTATGGCTCATATAGTCTGATATAGTGAGAATATGGAGGAAAGGGTTCATGTGATTCTTATTCACAGAACAAACTCAAATTTAAAACTGTTCAAAATCAAAAAAAAAAAAGTAAAATGTTCTTTAAACATGGCCAAACCCTCATTCCTCACCGAGACGACTCACCTGTCTGAAGCAGCTGGGAGGAGCGGGATCAGACGACGTCTCTTTCAAATACTCCTCCCATGAGAACGACTCCATCACTGCGGCGGAGAAACACACCGATGCTTCACAAACTCAAGACGATCGCATGCAGCACTTAAAGTTCAGAGTCTTTACCTTTGACTGGTCCAGGACCTGTGAGAGACATGCTCCGGCCCGCTTTATCCTTCTTACCGTCTTTGTGATCTGCAAAAGAGAAATGAATTATGAAGTACGTCAAATTCAAGGCTTGAATCTCATGTACAGCATTTCTGATCACAATGTTCAGCTGAAGAAAGAAAGTCATAGAGGTTTGTAAATGAGGAATGCATTGTTATTTCTGGGTGAAGTTAACAGTGTTACAAGTTACAAGTAACGCAAGTTATGTAATCAGATTACTTTTTAAAAGTAACTAGTACAGTAACGCATTACATGATGTTACTGTAGTTCTAGACTAAATATGAACATGTATTTATTCATCTCTCCTGCACAAAAACAGATTCAGTATTACTCAAAATGAATAAAAAGTCAAATGCAAACTCAGAATATGACTAGGGTTGGGAATCGAAAATCGATTCCAATTACAGAATCGGATACTCAAGTTCAGGAATCGGATACTTGTTGTAAAATTAAAATTTCGGTTCCGATAAAATTAAGATTTATCGATTGGCACAGGACACGGATCTCTCTCTTATGAGACATGAAACAGAAAACACACTCTCTGCTGAGGGATGGAAACTTCCCAAAACACACACACACACTTCATTTCAGCCGCCCACACAAACACACACTTCCTTCATACAGCAAAGAAACGAAAAGCATCTAATGAGCGAACTCTCCTGCATGCGCTGAGCGTTTCTGACATGAACGTGACAACAAGAGACGAGTCTTATTAGATCAGTAATTGAATCCACACGCCGGCAGACAATTATAGGTTGAAGAAATGAGTTGGTTATTTATGTCAAGCAATTAAAGAGTTCATTCCGCTCGCGTCTCCAGTGAGCTTCTCGCTCTGTCGTTCAGTTGTTCAGTCTGCCGTCACAATCGCTCTCTTTCACTCTGACTCTCCTCTGTTCGTCTGCTGATGTTCCTTCTCGGGTTTCACATTCGCAGGCCGCGGAATAATGTCAGTGTTTCTGTGCTAAAGCAGTCGATTTCTCTCTCAGACCAGGGCTTTTATTGATAATAAAATTAAAAACATTTACTTGAAATATATTATAATAATATTA